GAAGACCAATAATCGATTATCACTTGTTGACAATCGATTATCTGGGTTACCGTTGTCCTCCAACGGATAGAATTTTAAATTTTTGGACAGGGAATCTTTGGATAATCGATTATCATGCTTAGACAATCGACTATCAGCCCGTGTTCCTGAAAAATTTGTCTTCATCCTGTTGGAAATTCTAGCAACGGATTTATCCCATTTTGGGCTATAAAATGGCACCCAAATCCTCTCTTTTAACACACAATTCTTCAACATTTCAATACTCTTTCATTGCATAAGCATTCCTATTTTTTCTTAGCTATTTGAGAGCCAATTCTTGAAGAAATTGTCGTGTTCTTGAGCGTTTACTAGTTCACTCATATCTACTCTTTGTGAGAGTTTTATTCCTGAGTGTTTAAGTGTTTTCATACACTTTTAGAGAGGTTGTTCCCTTGTTGTAAACTCGAAGGAAGTTCCTTGTTTCTTCGTGAGAAGTCTTGGAGTGCGGTATCTCTGAGCAAAGATGTTGAGGCTCGTGTGACTCGGGTTCTCAAGTTGTATCGGTTTGTTAAGCACCCTTAAGCTTAACGGAGTTAGTGTAGCTCGAGAGAGTCTCTCGGGGGGCTGGATTAGCCACACGTTGTGGTGAACCAGGATAAAATTCGGTGTGTTCCTTCCTTACGCTCTTTACTTTAACGCTCTCGTTTTAATTTCCTGCGATTTTGTTTCGAACGCTATTCACCCCCCCTCTAGCGTTGGGCCTTTATTCTAACAGCCCTAGCTTAGTCTCTAATCTGTGGTTAACGTAGTAAGTCAAAAGTTTTCTAAATGTCCCCAAGTAACTATTAAAAGTGAAATTATTTCCTTGATGATTTTTAATTATGCGAAAAGTTTTTTTATGAAATATTCTAAAAACAAATATTATGTCGCACCTAGAGATTTTGAAGTCGGTGGACACAGAAGCTTATCTCCTGTCGTTTTTCACCGTCGCCCCCGAGAAGAACCCAATCGGTTTTTGGATGCAATTTCGATCTCTTTCCTCTCGTCAGAACAACTCTGTCGGCTTCCTCTACAATTGCAAAAATTAAAGATCCGCTAATCAAATTCAATGAATTTATAAGTTAATTAACTTGACCAAAGGTAAATATGATTAACTGAGACTTGGGATTTATTGATAGTAACAATATTGAGCAATCCCGAAGAACAAACTTTGGACAAAACCAGTGCAAAAGAAGCATCTTTTTCAAATTCATAAAGATCAACATACCGCGGAGGGATGATTTTCTGAGGAAGAAGATGGTTGGTGAAATACTCCAAGGTTTTGTCATCTTTAAAGTAGATGTGGGGATTGAGAGGATACACGAACATTTGATTTCCGGTAGCTTGAGGTTGAGTGTTTGAAGATTCTGGGAGAATTGCATTTGCCTTGGACCGATTTGATCTCTTCTATGTGTTGGTAGTCATTCTTATGCAATGAGAAGAAGAAGAAGAGAAGACCGTCACAGATTTGTCGGCGAGGGTCGGCTATAGTTGTGAGAGATAAAAGATGTGAAATTGACTTGAAGACCAATGATCTAATTTATTCAAGTAGCTCTGAAACAATTCGAATAGGTTAGGTCCAATAAAAGACTGAATCCCGATACTAAACACTTTTATTCAAATAGTTTTCTAACTATTTAAATAGTTCAGGTGCTTGATTTTGCTGAATGCCGATACTGAACAAACTTATTTGAATAAATTCATATTTATTCGAATAGTTTAGGATGACCAAAAATCCTATGTGTGTCAAGTCGCAAATTTATTCGAATAAAACTACAATTCTTCAAATAAAACATTGTAGATTGCCAGATCTTCAAGAAATCATCCAAATGAATGATTTTTAATGAAGAACTCAAGGTTCCCCCTTAATATAAGCTTCCTATAGAGTGAGGAAGAGGAGTGGGTGGGTAGGAACCTGCAAAAAAGAATTAAGGCCACTGATGCATAAGTTAATACCAAATTCAATTAAAAAATATATAATATAGGAAACTTAATCAATAGCAATTATTCCTAGAGCATTCCTAATACGACAAAAATTCTCAAGGTCCAAAGGTTTGGTAAAAATGTCGGCCAACTAATTTGTTGCATCGACAAACTCAATATCAACATCACCCTTTTGGACATGCTCTCTAATGAAGTGATGTCGGATATCAATATGCTTAGTACGAGAATGGTGAACATGATTCTTAGTAATATTTATGGAATTCATATTATCACATTGCATGGGAATATGATCAAGTACAAGGCCATAGTCCAGAAGTTGTTAATTCATCCATAGAATTTGGTTGCAACAACTCCCCGCAGCGACGTATTCAGCCTCGGCGGTGGACAAAGCAACGCTAACTTGTTTCTTACTAATCCAAGAAGCAAGCGAACAACCAAAAAGCTAACAAGTTCCGCTCGTACCCAACTGGAGTACATGTTGAACCATTGGGATACCAAAGTCCCAAGTTAAAGGTGCCTTTGATATACTTAAAGATACGTTTGACATCAGTCAAATGTGATCCTTAGGGTTTGCTTGATATCTAGCACAGATACAAACAGTAAACATAATATTGGGTCAACTAGCGGTTGAATATAATAAAGAACCAATCATACATCGATACCGTTTGACATCAACTAATGTACCACTTTTATCTTTATTAAGAGAGCATTGAGAACTCATTGGGGTAGACATTTCTTTTGAATTATCCATTTCAAATGTCTTGAGAAGCTCTTTGGAATATTTTGTTTCGCTAAAACATGTACCACATGTTCAAGTTGTCAAATTTGAAGACCACGGAAGAAATTTAGTTCTCCCATCATTGAAATTTCGAACTCCCCTTGAATAATCTTTGACTATGAAGTAGACTCGTCATATGTCACGATTCTGAGAGTTCAACTTGCAAATTTTATCTATAAAGTAAAGATTAAGTACCACTACACATATCACATGAACAATTGACTCGTGCGATTGAAGTTTATCCCGCTAGTTTAACCACATTAGAATATGTGCATGAGGCAAACCTCTCTTTTGAAACTCAACAATGTCTAAACCTGCACACAATTAATATATTAATATACTCAAATGATGATACTTTAAATTTCAATGTCAAAACTACAACAATTTTATTATTTAAATGGAACTAAAATAGAAAACTTTAAAATTATATCTAATTACTTCACGAGATATAAGTCATTCTCATAATGATCCAATTTTGTTTTAAAGATTCTAAATTCAATGTTAGGTCCATCTTCAGCTCTATATTCTCTTATTGTCATATAAATTTATTTGAGGAATTTGTGTGTAATAAAATCTAAAATTTAATTTCTATAAATTAAGTTTTTTTGTTAACTAATTCTTTAAAAATTACTTGCTGACATGGCAAGTAACATTAAATTTAACATTAAATTTAAGTGTATTTTTTAATAATGTTTTTGTAAATAAAACTCCACCAAATTTAAGTGTTTTTTAAGAGTGAAGCTAATTACTTTTTCAATAATTGACAATTTGGTAATAATTGAACAATAAATTATTCTACATAATGGAGCTAATTTTTTTACTTCATAACTCACTACTTTTTTTGTAAGTTGTAATTATTTTTTCTTGAGTGGCACTACAAATTATTTCTCCAAAATAATAGTTAAAAAGTTTGGAAAATGGCACAATATTTTTTTTCTCTCTAAAACAACACTAAATAATATTATAACTTACAACAATTTTATACATTGTAATTTCTTTTTTCAGCGATATTCTACCCGAACATCAAACAGAATTTGTAAATTGTTATATTTTTTTAAAAAACATTGAGACAATTCTCTAACAAGAGTATACCATTATATTTTTAAAAACATAAAATTAAAAAATAAAAAAGTAAATTTGCCTATTATTTGCAAAAAAACAAGCATTTTCAAATAATTCCGTTAAGTGGGCGTTAATTTTTTAATGACGACCCAAAACTCACATACATGTGAAGAGATGAGATTATATTTGGTGACAGTGACGAATAATATTATTTTTGAAAAAATGTGAAAAGATTGGATTATTTAAATTCTTTTTCTCATATATGAAGATAACACACTTATGTCTATCAACAAAAGTTGATGGGCATGCTAGATGTACACCAAAATAAGGCATTCTATTTGTACATCGAGCAAATACAGAAACTTATTATCCGTGATCCAAAGACACTAAGTGTGTTTGTATGTGTTTACGTGTGTACAAATGTGGTACTCCATCATTAATCATTTTGTGTGGCAAATTATATCATACATCTGGCTGTACGGGAAGAACCGTACAACCGGCAATTAATTAGGGCGAATGAGGACCTGCTGCAAGAACGGCCGAATGGATCGGCGATGAAGGAGGCTGTGCGATGGAACTCGTTGGATTCCCGATCGGCGAGGAGGCTGCGCGATGAAGGTCTTGATAGGCGATTACATGATGAAGCTGGAGGTTGTTTGAATGTCTGATCGGCAATTGAACGATGAAGGTCTGATCAGCGACAACTACTTGGATATGCGAAGATCTGATCAATTTTGCTTCCAGTTGCTCGCGATGGTCTTTCGCGCTTCCTAGAGATCTTTTCTTCCACTCACAACCACATATCATTATATGAATGGTAAGTTGTTTAAGATTGAGTACTAGGTTATATGGGAATGAATACTACTGTGTTTTAGAATGAATATTATGTTATTCGTAAATGAAAATTGAACAAAATTGTGAAAGTGAGTACGGCGTTATTTTTGAATGAGTACTGCGTTATTTCAGAATGGGTACCGCGTTTTTTTAATGAACCATTATGCTTGTGTGAGAATGAGTACTACTTTACTTTGGAATGAGTATTACATGGATGTACCTATCTCTAGGTACATCCGGATGTACCATATACCAACTCATTTTGTGTACCTATAAGAAAGTGGATAATACTATTTGTACCCTGAGAATTTGTACCCATTTTGTATATCGTAGGAATGTACCTGTATTTTTGTTATTGATAATGCTAATTTTTGTTTAAGTTTTTGTTAAAGCAATTGATAGACTTGATACGGATTGTCTCGATTGTCTTATCTTAGCATCTTGAAGATGAACGCTCCGCTTGTAGCTCCGTCTATTTTCCGCTCCAGCTTCTGCATCCCCCTTTTACGGATTTACAATAATCAATTCAATAATATCTTTAGGTACAGTGATGCAATCGTCTCCAACCTTACTCCTTCCAGACCTTTCTTTTCGCTCACCTCCCCTGCTCTTCGTTTGCCTCCTCTCACCATGGCATCTTCCAGTAAAACGCCTACCCAGGTTCAGCTCTGTGTCTAATTATGTATTCCTGATTTCCTGGTACCAAACAATTTTATGTAATCATTAAATAATCACATCAATTTTCATGTAATCTATTTTTAATTTAGGGGTTCAGTGAGGCTGGCAATGAAGTTAATGTTTTCCAGTTAATTCAAGTTCATCAGGTACTGATTTTAATTATGGTATTTTTGTAGTATTTATTTTGAAGTGAAAATGTATTTTCTGTGTGTTTTTATATGCATTAATACACTGGGGTGCATTAGATAAGGACTTATGGAATTGACAAGGTTTTATATGGCAGGAAAAAGCTGCCAGACTGCCTCCAATTGAGGAAGTTAGGACGGTTCTCAATTATAGCCTGCGTGGAGTGCTCTCCACTTTCTCACAGGTTGTTTGTTTCCTTGCAATGCACATCCCTTAACAGCTTCTCAGTGTGGTTTCTTTGTGTCTTAGCTAGACTTTGATCGTTTTCTAACATGTGTAGTGAGGGTGACCTATTTCTTAATTGATATGAGTTTCATAATATCATCTTTTTGGAGTTACATATTCATATGAGAATCGCAGACCTAAATGTTATTTTCCAAAGTTGCTTTATAAGTGCATTTTTGGTCATGCATTGACTCGATGCAGTATGCATGGTTAGCAGAAATATGAAGGATATCCATCAGGTTCCATGGTTGATTTCGCTTGTGATGCCAACGGATCTCTAATATTATCAATCAGCAATTTGGCAGCGCATTCAAAGGTTTGTTTCTTATTTTTGGATTTGGATCTTATAGCTAGAGTTATGCAAATGTGAAGACTACATACGGAGTACTTCATAAACCATTCCCTTGAAACAGGTCAAGTTTGAAAACTGCCACTGTTTCAGTTGCTTACTTGTCTACTTGCTTTAAATGTGGATTTTGATATACTGAAATATATTTATTTTCCATCTAATGAAGATCGGACATGAAGGGTGCTTGGTGTAAAACATTTACACTATGCTTTCTACATCAAGTTATAGTGTTAATTATCTCTATAAAATTTATTGACATTGAAAAAAATAGAGTAAATTCTATAAATAGTCTTTCATAACAAGGAGTTTTCCATACATAGTCCCCAATTCTAAGATATTACATTCGTAGTCCTCGATATTTGAGAACTTTTCCAAAATCAGTCCTTAATGCTATATTTGGTTCATGGAAAAGGAAAAGAAAAACATGGGTTCTCTTATTTTTGGCACCAAAAAGGGAAGCAATGGTGTTTCCCTCGTAGTTTATCTTCTCTTCTCATTTTGTTTTTCATCCACTTTTCTTTTCTTTTCCTTTCTAACCAAACATAGCGTTAAGGACTATATGTGGAAAATAATATTTTGGTCAAAGGACTGATTGAACTTGTAATCGGCTCCTAAACCCCAAATGTAGAGGACCATGAACCTAAGTCCTAACTAGTTAGGTGCTGATAATGATAATTATATAGATTGCACTTGTAATTGGCATCAACAAATTTTTGATGTTACATCAAGTCCTTTTGGAATTTTTTGCTTTGCATCAACAAATTTTTGATGTTACATCAAGTCCTTATCCAGGATCTCTTAGCTAACCCCAAGTGCTCATTGCTTGTTGCAAAAGATCCCGAGGATAAGACCGATTTAATCATAAATGTGTATGGTGACATTGTTCCTGTAAGTTTTCACTTTTATTCAATTTCTCTCTTTCTGTGTCCAGTGGGTCATCTTGCTTGCCCTTGTATTATGATGTGTGCTCTCTATAATGCAGGTTTCTGAGACAGAGAAAGAGGATGTCCGTGCTGCATATTTGGTTAGGCACCCTGATGCATTCTGGGTAAGTTTTGAATTATTTTTTTCTTGAATGCAATAGTTCATCTGTAATTTCATTTGGATGTATTTCTTTCTCGAAGGTTGACTTTGGAGATTTCCATTTCCTAAGAATTGAACCCAAGGTTGTGCGATATCTATCAGGTGTTGCAACTGCTTTATTGGGATCAGGAGGTTTGTAGCTTTTGTATTTCCAAATATTTTACTTCCAGTCCTTTCCATCTTCGTTGTTTTTTTCAGGTATTTGATTTCCCCTATTCTTGGGATAATCTCTCTTGTAATGTATGAACTCTCTCAGTCTCTTGTGTTCATCATATAATTGTTTTAAAGCCAGCAAATCACATCGCTCCATTTTTTCAGAGTTCAGCAAAGAGGATCTCAGAGCTGCAAAAATTGATCCCATCTACCAATTCTCTAAGCCAATCACAGTATTACCACTTAGTCACTATTATTTTGAACTTTTGAAGCAGGCTGGGCGTACATCAATTTCAATGTAATATATCTAATTATATAATTCCCTTGATTTGTCAGTCCCACATGAATAAAGATCACATGGAAGATACCAAACTGATTGTGCGGCACTCAACATCTGTTCCAGTAAGTGTGACTAATCATTTTTCAGGACGCGCTATCTAATACTCTCTCTCCTTCTATCCCAAAAAAGGTTCTACATCTTCTGTTTGGTTTGCCCCAAAAACGTTACACTTTCCTCTTAAGGAAAGAATGTTGTAGTTTATACTGCGTATTATGTTTCTCTCCTTTGCATATATTTCAATTCCACAATTTCACTTTACTTAATCTCCTTGTCCAGTCAATGTGGGTCCTTTTATTGGGGCAGAGGGAGTACATCATTACAATTGGCTGGTAGTTGTTGTGGAGTTGTGGACCAACTTACCTGGTAAAAACATGGATAATGTTAAAACAAGAAAAATCAATGGCTGGTAGGTGTTGTGGAACATAGATGATATACCTGGTAGAATTGGTTTCAAATAGAGATGCTAATTGCTAGATAGTCTTCATATGACTTTTTTTTATCTGAGCGAGACAGTGACACACCGTAGTATATGTGTCTAGGCTTTCATTTTCCATGTGTATTGCTTATATGGTAATATTATTATCAGTTTAAACACTTCCCATTTCCAATAGTACAGTACCAAACAGTTCCAAAGTCATATTGCTCACAAGTTGTGAAAATGCTCTGTACATCTAGAGTAAAACCTTTCATTCTTTCCCAGGTAGAGTTTGCTTGGATGCTGGATGTGGACAGTCTTGGATTTTATGTTAAGGTGATTTGAGTTACCAGCTTCCTTGTCTATACATTCAAATATTGAATGATGATAAGATAATCTGTTATTTTCCTGTTATATGAACTCTGTGAGCTGTTTTAACTTAGTTCTTAAACTTCTAGTCTTAGATTTGTTTGATTGCTGTGAAATGTCCTGGGAAATGTTTCTCATTTAAAATATTCTCAACAAAAAGTAGTTGAATGTGTACTATAGCCTTTTTCTTAGGATGACAATTTGACAACAGTTGATAGTTAGCTCTTAAGAGTTAGGCCCCGTTTGGTACACGGAATTCAAACTATGGAATTGGAATTGAGGACTTCAATTCCAATTTTGGTGTTTGGTAGCACAAAAATCATGTGGATTTGGAATTGATAGTGCAAAAAATGAATTGAAATTGGTGAATTTAACTCTATAGAATTGAATCCCATGGAATGTCAATTCTAATTCAATTCCAATTCCATCAATTCCATATACCAAACGGACCCTTAGCATTTTGTGTTAGCAGGTTTGACTAGTAGTTAGCAGTTAATAGCTTGTAAAAGATGTTTGGTTACATAGTATATTGTTATTAGCAGTTAGCACTAAGCACTTTATATGTGTAAAATGAGCAATATTCTCAGGAATGTGTTGTTCAGCAAAGAGCTCTTTCTAAAATCTTATAGGAATAGCATTTTCAAAAAGAGCACTCTCACAACAAATTGTTGTGTACCAATCACCAAAATTAACATTTCTGGCAGGAATGTGTTGTTTACCAAAAAGATCTTTGTAAAATGCTTACAGGAATAGCATTTTAGAAAAAAGCTCTTGGACATCAACTTTATTCCTGCCAATTACCACATTTAATATTTCTGAGCGAGCAAACATGTTCTCCAAAATGCTTAATCTCATTCTCGGCATATTGCTCAGCAATATGTTGGTTACCAAACAGGGCCAATATCATATTTTAGGGAAAAAAATTTACTACCCTTCCGCTCATTTTTTTGTTAGAAAGTAAATTACTTCATAATTATATTTAAACAGTAAATGTAGTTGACTTTGACTGTGATGTCCTCTCCTGAGAATTTAGGGGTTCCTTTTGTTCTATTTCGTTTCTATTGCAGTGATCTTCCTCGGAGCTTCATGCTCACATCGCTTACACAAAATCAGGGATTTTAAATTATGCTACATACCCCGTCCCAACTCCATATTTTTGTTCCATTCTTTTCAAGTAGACATAAGAAATTGATGTTTCTGCCGATTCTAGTCCTGCTTTGATTTGACAAGCAATATCGTTCCTAAGTCATTGCCTATACAGTAGTCTGAATCCCATCTACAAATTGAGTCGCTACTATCATGAGCTACTTCTTGACTTTCAAAAGGATTTGTTTGTCTTGGATTTGTGGGTCGACAATGGAGGTGTTTATTTCAGTCTCCTTAAAGATTTCACTCTTCAGGCTTAAATTTCTTGTGCACCGGAGTTGTATGTTTTTCAGCATAGAAACTTCCTGATGTGTTGGAAGAGCCATCAAATCCATGTTCTTCTATTCCTTGAACTGATGAGAGTTCTTTGTAATCTAAATCTGTCTGATTCTGCCCCGTGTCACCGCTTGCTACCCTGCATTACCACAAGGAATCAAGGGGAGTCAGGGTAGGACACTTTAGTCATTTCCACTTGCATTTAACAGTCAATTGAGTTGAATAGTTAGTTACGGAAGGAGGTAATTATTAGCATAGTTAATGCTCAAGGGGTAAATAATTAGGTTCTTAAAATACAAGGTTTTATACTTTTATGACCAGAGGTCAAGGAGTATGGGTACTATTCCCTGATTTTTAATCCACCATTGCATAAAACAAATTAAACTAGTTCAGGAGGATGACTTCATTTCGAAGAGCAAGTCATTTTATACAAAAATGCAAATATGTTTAGGAAAATGTTTACGTTGGAAAAATTTTCTACTTAGGGTACTGAGTACAGTTGCATGGATCACAACCTTACACGTTTACGGTTTGTATTAAATGGTTCTGTTTTTTCCTTCACAGTCAGAAGCCTAGAGTCTCTTGCCTCTATCTTTCTCTCTCTTTCCTTTTTCAGGCTGTATACCAAGGGAGTACTTTCAAGCTTCGAGTTCCTTTCCCTAGACCAGCAATGGATAGAAAGTAAGATGACGCGTCCAATTTCTATTTCGGTATCCTTTTTATCTTTGCAGTTGCATCATGGAAAATGCACCGTAAACTTCTTTTTAACGACTTGATGTGGCCATTTTGTGTGGGATAATTGTTCACACCTGATCATTATTCCTGAATATAAGTCATCTATTATTACATCATTAATTTGAATCCTGAAGTGTTTACCTTGCTTTAAGTTCTTTGCCAAACGTATCCTCTTGCAGGGATGTTAAGACCCTGATAGTTGAAATGCTAGAGGCTGCAAGAACTCGAGGTGTTTAGTTCACAAATCTGGCTTGCTGTTTACACTTCTGTTATATGAAATGAAACTGTGATTTATTTATTGATGATATGATTGATACCCAAAACTTATAGAAGATTTTGTGGGAGAAGGGATGGAATTGTTGGGTCATTCCGTTGGATGGAATTTTGTGGTCATAATAATTCTCACATCGCTATATGTATATTGTCATGATTCATCATAAAACCCTGTCCATGGGTGGCCCGAAGAGGGTGCAAAGTGGACAATCGCACAGGATTCTTAAAATTTTCAGGCCTCATATTTTTAAATTTGACATTAATTTTAAATCATAAGTATTCTAAAAAATAAAATAGGGCCCAAAATGTAAATTTTGGATCAGACCAATTTTATTTTTTTCATCTTTCGGGGCGGCCCTGACCCTGTCCTTGTACTATTCAGTTTCAAAATGCCCCTAAGCTGTTAGTTATTCTTCCTTCAAATGAGAACTTACGGCGACAAATTTGAATACTAACCATTACTCCGTAATATTTTCGTAAAGAGTTTGCGATCGAAAAAGGCCAAAGAAGAAAAGCCAGAGCATAGCAGCGTAAGCCCTTCATTCGTTATTCCCTTTTATGCCGTTCGTTTTAATTTTTTCGCATGGCATAATTATAGGACTTATTTTTAGTTTAATCTTTTCCTGTTATAAAATGAGAAAAAAAATTATTCAAAGATTATGAGAATAGATATCATATATTTCTGATATTTTCTCCCTATTAATTACTCAGTATTAACTCTTCTTCATGTCCTTAATGGTATTTTGTAGGAATTCTAAGCCTCCAATTTATAATAGAGAGGCTTAGTGGTAATACTACTACAAAAAGTATACATATTACTCCCTCCGTCCTAAAACTTTCTCCCCAGTTCCCCTTTTTCTCTGTCCTAAAACTACCTTCCCATTAGAAAAAAAGATGACAAATGACATTAATACACTCATGTATTTACACCAATTATCTTCTAACTCTATATTTTGAATAATTGCAAAAAAAATTTCAAAAAATCTTTTTTAAGGAGGGTAAAATTTGAAGTCAAAGCCAAAAATTAAAAATGGAGAAAAGTCAAACTGAGAAGAAAGTTTTAGGACGGAGGGAGTATATAAATAGCAACTTAATGGTAATGATAGACAATTTATTCCTGCAACTATGATGGAGCATGACTTAATTAATTAATAAATTAACAATTCATATTTTTCTTAACACCCCCACTTGAATGTACATTTTTCAATTGATGATGAGTACTTTGTGAAATGGTTATAGTTCTGAAACTCATTCAAATTTTATGTACTGCCTCGTTAAAAACCTTGTCAAGAAAAACACAGTGGGATAAAAATTCGATCAAGGGAAACAGGTTTGTTGCGCGACCTTTTGGGCGAACGGGTGTGTTGGGGCTGTTTAGGCCGGTTGGGTGCCATGAATACAATTTTAGTAGCAACCTGATTCGTTAACTCCTTGATTTGGGTTACGCAAGTTGGGTGTTACATTTTGATATCGGAGCATTTGGTTTTAAAAATGATTTTTGGCCAAAATAATTATATGTATGATTTCAAAAAAAAGTATAGTTAAAGGTTTTTTTTCAAAAAAAAAAAAAATTAAATGTATATCTTCAAAAAAATAATATAATTAAAGGGGTATCTTCAAAAGAAAAAAAGGGGTCATACCCAGTTTTGCGACCAATCTAGGAGGTAACTCTAAATTTTTAATGCGTGATTTTTGTGAAATCTTTGCTTAATGTAGAATGGACCCTGTTGTGAACTATGATGACGATCACTCTGAGGAAGCGAGTGTGCCCCTACATCAGAATGCAAATCAGAACGCTCCACCGCAAGGGGGGCCGAATGGTGGGCCTACCGGTATCCCTCCGATGGACCTTGTGTTGATGATGCAGCTCCTGTAGCAGGTGCTCATCATGAACTAGAATGCCATAGTGCAGGCTCAGCAACCTGAGTCTAGGTTCACTATCGATAAGCTGAAGAAGAACAAGGCTGAGGCGTTTCTCGGTGAAGATATTGCTGACCCCCTGGTTGCATTTCGATGGCTCGAGCGCGTGAGGCGTGTGTTCGAGAATATGAAGGTCCTGGATAGAGAATGGGCTGATCTGGCGGTAATGCTATTACAGAGTCAGGCGTACGAGTGGTGGAAACGCAACACTCGGAATGCGGGCCATCGAGCACAGCTAACATGGGCATATTTCAATTGAGTGTTCAGGGCCAAATACATTGCCAAGTGAGAAACGGGAGGAGTTCATGCATCTTGAGATGGGGACTTTGAGCTTGCCAGAGTATCGCCAGATGTTCGATCACTTGGCGGAATTTGGTCAGGACTTGGTGAAGACCACCAAGAGACATTGCGACAGGTTTGTATCTCAATCCCATTAGACTGAGCAGCGTTGTGTTGCTTGGGGACCCTCATCGCAGCACAAGATTGATGGGAATTTAAAGCATTACGCCTAGAGTTCCTCTTTCTTCATCCATCCATACTCTCACAATCTTGTCTCACAGTAATCTCTTAATGAAAGCAGCAATGATGGGATTTAACGCAGCAACTATGGCGTGCGAAGAACAAAATAAACAATATCGATAACACTTAGTCTTGTAATTCTCTTGTATTAGTCACCTTTTTCCCCATTTACAATGGAGGGTAAGCCTCCTATTTATAGCTTAAGTCTACCATGTACTCCCTCCGTCCCCTTGTATTTGTCCACTTTCATTTTTGCACACCATCCAATGCACTTCTTTATTTCATTTTATCTTGTAATTTGTATATTAAAAAATTATAAAAATTATATATTAATAATCTATATGTTAAGACAAATCAAACAAGATCACACATGACTATATTTAGGCTTACACATTGAGAGAATTTGATGAATCAAAGTGCTTAGATGAACTGCTCCAAAAGTCAAATGTGGACAAATATAGGGGGACGGAGGGAGTATAAGGTAAAGGTATCGTGCACTACATTATCGGTCATTTTACCGATCGTGCGTCAATCATGTCGGAAAATCAGTTATCGATTCCCACCAATCCCACGATTCGGGGAATTACCTTTATTTGGGTATTGGGTCGGATGTCTTCGTGGCCCACTCTCGGGCCTTACCTCCAAGTTTGCAATCGGATTCTAATAGTTATTGGGTCAGCCCAACTTTGATTGGGTTGTTCCTGTTGGGCCACTAGCTCGGATATCCATCAAAAGTTTTCGTAAAATTTTAGGTACCATTCTTGAAATTTATCCTGTATTTTTGTTGTTCTACTTTTTCTAATTTACTATCTCCGCTGCAAAATGGTTTATCTCTTTATAATCAAGGCCTTTCAATATTTTTTGTTTTCTTGTATATTTTGTTCTTGATCATTTGATAAAATAAAATATTTTTTTATCTCGTAAGATATTCTTTTGCAATATTATATAGATTTAGCTATTTTTACTTCAAAATTTGTACCCAAATTGCACACCGCAAGTGTGCATCTTCATTTAGTACTAGTGTGATAGTTCACAAGACACAAAATGTGAGTGCAATATTTTTTCGTACTAGGATTTTGTGTTAGTGTGGATCATCAAAATGTTAGATAATTTATATTTGGTGTAAACTTTTTGGTATAATTGTAGCATGGTTGATATTTTTTTATTGATTGGTTAATTTTGGATTGAGAGATAAATTAGAATGTGTTCATTAGCAAAAGTGTTAGGGGTACACCAAAAGTGTATCCGAAATGTACACCACCTCATCTATTATTACATATTTTGGGATGTAAAACATAAAAAAAATGAATAATAATGGAGGGGTGATATACATTTGGGATATACTTTAAGGATAAAGCTATTTGTATCCCAAGAATTTGTATCCATTTGGTACATCGCAGGCATGCACCAACATTTTGTGTTGGTAAAAATGTTAGTGTAATCTTAATTTTTGTTAACGCATCAACACTTTGCGTCAGTATAAATTTTTGTTAACGTATCAACACTTTGGCCGTGTTTGAAAAACAGCATTTGTGATAGCTTTTGACATCTTTGACTGACTTTGGCTTTTTTGACCAAGCGAACCGCCAAAATCATTGTTTGGCTAATGGCTTTTTCACTTGGCATTTTGATCCGAAAAGCCAAAATCTGAAATGCCAAGGTGAGTAGCATTTGGACTTGGCGGTTAGGAAAAATATTTTTTTAAAAATCATTTTTGTTGAAAGATATTTTATAATATATGTAAAAAATAAAAATAAAAGTTAAAAAAATTAAATACGAAAAAATAAAATGAAATTTAAAAAAAATTATATTTATAATTCATTAAAAAATTAATATTTATAATTTATTATGAATTAAATGAAATTAAAATTTAATATTCCATATAGTAAAGATTTAATTTTTGCATGTAAAAAAAATGAAAAATAAATATCATGTGTATATATATATATATATATATATATATATATATATATATATATATAAAATTTTTTATTTAATTTTTTTAATTTTAAAAAAATATATTTATGATATGATATTTAAAAAAATTGTAAAATAAAATATACCATAAATAGAGGGATGTCCTTTTATGTAATTTTATTTACAAACAGCTAACTATAAACAGCTAAAGTTGCCAAACACTTAAAATTTAACTGCTAACAGAAACAGCCGGTCAAAACAGCTAACTCAATCAGCCATTCAAATCAGCTAACATAAACAGCCAACAACGAACTGCCAACTGCTAGTATCCAAACAAGGCCTTTGTGTCAGTATAAACCATCAAAATGTTGGTACATAACTTTAATATACAAATAAGATACAAATTTTGAGGTAGATCTAGCATACTCCTCTTCTTAAAAAGTAGAGCCATGCTAGGGGTACACCAAATTTGTACCCCATTTGTCCCCCACCCCCTTCTCCACCATTCATTTTTATCTACTTTTTATTTATTTAATTTTTTTTTAAAATTTTTGCCCATTTTTGTGGTAATGGAGGGAGTGAGGGACAAATGGGGTACACCAACCCCTAGCATTTTTTTAAAAAGTATCCAACATCCACCATTATTAGTTGCTCACTCCTAAATGACATCATCCTGTATATACAATAATTCTTCATTTATTAGACTTGACTACATGAGTCACTTCTTTCGGCGACATTGCTTATTCACTCATCACTCACAATTGCTCTAAAAAGTGTTAGGATTAAGTATCCAATATTTATACTCCAATTTGTACCCTGTAAGTTTACACTAAGATTTTTTTGTCTAAGTGTACCATGTTACAAAGTGTTATCTATCCGACCATTCATTCAAGACCGCCATCAGTCGCCACAGTTATCTCCATCGGGAACCAAATGCCATTTCCATCAAAATATGTTTACGCTTCCATAGTCTTCCTACTCTTCACGGTAGGCTTTTTCCGCACCCTCAGCCGCCGGCAACGGATCCCCTCCTCCGCCGAATCAAATCCAGACTACGAAGATGCCTTTCTCTCCTCTGCTTCTAACGACACCATCGCCTCGCACCTCCGTCACCTCACCTTCCAACCGCACCTCGCCGGCACGCCGGGCTCTCTCCGGACGGCGTATTACGTCAAGTCCCAGTTCGAGTCCCTTCATATCCCCACCCACCTCACCAACTACACCGTCCTGTTGTCTTACCCCTTGTCGGCCTCGCTGACGGCTCATTTCCGCAACGGCTCCGCCGTTCCCGTCCCTCTATCCGAGCCCGGGATCCCGAAAAAAAGGGTGGTAATCCCTTACCACGCTTACTCTCCCTCCGGCTCGGCTCATGGAAGCGCTGTTTTTTTGAACTACGGGCGGGAGGAGGACTACCGTGTACTGGCGGAGCAGGGGGTGGAGATGGAGGGCTGCGTCGGGATTGTACGGAGAGGCGGCGGGCAGTCTAGGAACGAGGTGGTCGGGAGGGCGGCGGTGCATGGAGTTGCGGCGGTGCTCATGTATACCGAGGGCGAGTTGAGGGAAGGGGTAGAGAGAGGGACGGTATCGGGGAGCGTAGGGGATCCACTGAGCCCGGGATGGGCCGGAGTTGGGCCGGGCGAGAGACTCCGATTAGATGACCCGCGAGTATCTGCCAAATTCCCGAAAGTGCCATCGATGCCCATATCTATAGGCGCCGCAAAGATGATACTGAGTTCGTTAATGGGTTCCGAGTTGCCTTCTCTGTGGAAGAAGAAGCATACTGATCAAAATATCAGTAGTAGCGGCGGCATCGATTTTTCGAGGGTTGGGCCCGGCCCAACAATGTTGAATTTCTCGTACCAGGTAAGAAAAAAGCAATTCAATCTGATTGATTTTGTATTTGCTAAATTGACGTATGGAGTTTTTTTTTGTATGGATGCAAAGTGGATTTTGTTATTAATAGAAAGTTTAAGGCTCTTATCTAAGAATGGTATTGCTATGTGCCCATGGTAAGGGCGTGTTTGGATGGTGGGGGAGGAGAAGGGCTTGGTTTGAAAAATGCCCATCTCTAACCATGGGACCAGTAATGGGGAACATCCCCTTCTCTAACCAAACACACCCTTAGTTTATTATCTCATTTGTTTATTTTTCCTTGTTTAGTAATTAACTAGAATGATGAATTAAAAAGGGAATTATTACTATTCACAGACTCCAATCTACTTTGATTAGTAATGACACTTGCTAACTTGGTAATATATAGTAAAAAGAAAGAATAACTCACCAAATCATAGTGTTGGAGATATATCTATATATGGTATGTTCAAGTTTAGAGTTTCAGGTGATGAACATTTTGTTTTGTGGTTTGTAGGGGGAGAAAAGAATGGGAACAATACATAATGTATTTGGTGTGATAAGAGGGTCAGAAGAGCCCGACCGGCTTGTGCTTCTTGGGAATCACAGAGATGCATGGACTTACGGGGCAGTGGACCCCAGCAGCGGCACTGCAGCTCTACTCGAAATTGCCCGCCGCTACGCTCTTCTCATGCAGTTGGGATGGACACCTCGCCGCACCATCTTACTTTGCAGTTGGGATGCTGAAGAGTTTGGGATGGTATATATGTTCAATGTTTTATTACCACCACCACCTTGTTAGCACATCCTGCGTCGAACGAATATATACATATAAAAAATGCAAAGAAGTAAACATATATCGATTCTTGTAGCAATAATGTGAATATAGGAAAATGTTGGAAGCATTAGTGTCATTTAACGAATCTCGGAGTACTTTGAACTACTATTATAGGTTGACTTCTAGAATGGACTCTTAATAGAAGTGTTTAAATATATATCGTGTGTCCTCGGGCTTTCGAAACAAGAAAACAAATTGTATGATGTGTCGTTCTTGTGGTGGCTTCAGATTGGCTCCACTGAATGGGTTGAAGAGAACACTCTCAATCTGGCCTCTAAATCAGTGGCCTACCTAAATGTGGATTGTGCAGTTCAAGGACCTGGATTTTATGCCGCTGCAACTCCTCAACTTGATGATCTTCTTCTTGAAATTGCTAAGAAGGTTAGAGATCCCGATTCTGAGGAGATGACCATATATGAGAAATTGACAGTTACGAACCAAGTTATGGATGTAAGTTTTCTCCCTTGCCGTCTTTTTCTTCCTTTAAACTATGTTTGCTTCAAGGAATTCGGGAGGAAAAATAAAAGAAAATGACATGGAAAACAAGTTTTCTTGGATGGTTAGAGTGGAAAAGAAAACAAAAGTTGAAGGAAACTAGAAATTAAGAGGAAACTGAGGAACATAACTTTCCTTCCATTTTTTTCTTGTCTTTTCCTCCCGAATTCCACAAACCAAACATAGTGTTTAGTTTCAATGGTAATTGCATAGCTGCGTTATGGCAGATCCAGAGACTTGGCCGAGTGGATTCAGATTTTGTTCCATTTTTGCAACATGCAGGGATTCCTTCCATCGATATCTACTATGGTGAAGGTAGGTACACATGAAGTGCTAGTTAGTGTTTATGACATGTGCTGGGTTCTGTTTGAATTTCAAAATGTGATTTCATCCGCTCCTTGTAGGTTTCCCAGCATACCACACGGCATTTGACTCTTATAATTGGATGGTGAACTTTGGAGATCCATTGTTTCAACGGCATGTGGCAGGTAATTTTTTTTCCCTGGCCTTCGTATATCTTTCTTGACCCAGACCCTACTCTTGAGTTGGATACAGTAGTTGTGTTGTTTAATTTAATGGCATGTTTAGGAACTGAAATTTGGATTTGGCTCGAGTTCCATGTTTGGAAATGCTAGTTCCCAAACACTACCTAAATTCATTTCTATACTCAGTGACAGGAATATGGGGACTTCTTGGACTTCGCCTCGCCAATGATGCGATTCTACCTTTCAACTACCTCTCTTATGCAAAAGAGCTGCTAGTATGAACGAACTTCTTTGTCCTTTTCGGTATATAGATCAACAGGCGGCGTTCCCTTTAATATCTTTTATTCTAACAAAGATCTCATTTGTAACCACATTCAACTATCAAAATAATGGTTCTTAATAGGGATATACAAATATCTTGAATGATACATTGGGGGGAAGCTTCTCGCTGCATCCATTAACGGATGCTATCCAAGAACTTGTAGGCGCCGCTACGGAAATTCAGAAAGAAGTGAAGGTTCTAGAAAAATAAATTTCTTCATCGTGCTCTTGTTTAATTTTTCCCCTTAGTCAACGGTGTTTTTATCCAATCACAACTTGCTCTCATACAATGAATTCTGAGGTGCAGAAACTGATGGAGGGTGAAGCTGTGGTGGACGAGCATTTTATTGTGAAGAAAAGGATGTTAAACGATCGGCTGATATTTGCAGAGAGGGGTTTCTTAGACGGAGAAGGGCTTAAAGGAAATCAATGGTTCAAGCATCTTGTAAGCATTTTGCTTGTCCAACCCAATTACACATTGCATATGACAAACCTCACATTCACCCTAGTATTTTCTTGAACCGTAGAGCCGATCGAGGCTTTGAAAGTTTTATTTTGATATAGACGACTTATAAATCAATTCACATGTGTCGATATAATAGACTTATAAACAAATGATCCACTACGAAGAGTTGAGCGAGGTGACATGGTGCAGGTTTATGGTCCGTCGTGTAAGAGCAACAAAGGGAAGCTGGATTTCTTTCCTGGAGTTGTGAATGCCATGTGTGGGGGGCCGATGAATAAGGTAGAAGAAAGGGATGGTGAAATTAGGCATGAGATATGGAGGGTTGCAAGGGCTATTCAACGAGCTGCCTACGCGCTTAGAGGACAACTAACATGAAGGTTTACCCACTCAGACACCAAGCTTTATCGTATTTAGATAGTTATTAAATTTTAGCATTTACTTTCCATCATCTCCGATGGAGCCAAAATTTCACCATTTTTTGGCTTTGGGGTGTGATGGAATAAATCAAAATGGATCTCTAAACTGTCTGCGCTTCTTTCAAAAGCTTCTTTAATTAATGAAATAGCAGTTAGTCAAGCAATGCAACTTTCGACGCTGAGCCGGGGGTCTCTTTGGAAACAGCATCTCTACTTTCGAATAGGGCCAAGGTCTGCGTACACACACCCTCCCCACACCCTCCCCAGACCCTACTCTTGTGAGATTTAACTGGGTTGTTGTTGTTGTTGTAAGTCATGTGTGTATGTATGATTAGTGTAATTATAAGAGTAAATTCTAAATTGTCCCGTAAAATGAAGGGTTTTTTTTTTAAAAAAATATTTTAAAATATAATGTTATTCCAAAATATTACTCCGTATGTTTCTACCTCTATTTCATTATGTCTCCTTCAAAGCAGAATTTCTAAATACTCCCATATTCAACAAGTATACACTTCAAAGCAAAATTTCTAAAATATTCGATAATATTTTATTTTATCATATAGGTCATTAAAAAACGTAAATAAATGAAAGTTTTCGTGAAGTTGGAATAGTGCACTGTGAAAAAAGATATGTGAAAAAAGATATGAGAAAAAAGATATGAGACTGAGGGAGTAATTTTTATAAAGGAAATTGTTGACGTCCATTTTACATTATGTTCATTACGGGGCACTGTTTTACAACGTATTAAAATAATTTGAATTATAGAGGCACGATATCAAATATTAGTAGTTTGATTCAAAATTGGTCGATGTAAAAAATAGTTATCTGAATCACAAAAGGACAACACCATCCACAATTGGACAACCGCAAATGATTGTAGCCTAAATTATATAGTGAAATTTGTACTAAATAGTACCCTCTTCCGTCCCAAACTATAATGCATGTTTACTATTCACAGGGCCAAACTTTATTCACTTTCTTTCTTTTCGTTAGCAATTTGATAAAATAAAGTACTACTGTTACTACTAGTTTTGTAGATCTTTTGATGTAGTATTTTAATATGTAATTTTTATTTATTAACTATATACCATTTGTCATATAAAATGATTTGAAAATAATTTCAGTCAAACATCGTAAATCGAAACATGTGTTATAAAATGGGACGGAGGGAGTACTAAAACATGGCTTTTCTGAATTTAGAATTTAAATTTTTTTTCCTATATAATACTTGAACAATGTCTAGTGACAGTGAACATTTGTTTGAATAATGTCCTTTGGCGGTAGACATTTACTTGAATAATGTCCAGTGGTTATTGAGCACTGGTAATACACTAGAAAATTAAATAATACACTAAGAAAACACTATAATACCCTCAGCATATCACAGAATTTACATACTTTCCCACAATCACAACATAACACACGGTGCATTCATGTATACATTGCATAACAATACAATAATAATGCATCTATAACATGCACATAATGCATTCCTAGTATATGCAAAATGCGTATAAAAGTAGTCTCACTAACCAACCCCAATTGTGTTTCAAGACTCCCATCCAATCGCATCAAAACCCTAATTATGAGCAACTCTGATGCATTCCTACTACAATTGAACAAAAAACCACTAAAAGAATCCACATAAACCATCTCATCACAATACCTAAAGATTAGATGCAACAAAAAACATGCAAATGAATCGTTTCACAATAAACCAGTGTAAGTAACCCAAAGTGGCAGATGAACACCATCTAAGCAAATTGAAAACCGGAACTCATACCTTTTGTTGCAGCCGGAACTTTAGTCTTAAAAAAAACCTTCGGTGTTTCGACCTCCAATGCATCTCTAGTCAACACCATCTTCGTGTCTTTCGCTCTCTACTCTTGGGTCGGAATATGGTGGTAGGCCTATTGCATCGCAGATTTGTCTCTGCACCTTCAAACTTGGTAAGCGTGAAAGGAGGCTCTTTCTTTACAAAAATGGTAACCGAGAAAGGTGGGATGTGTATTTTTAATTCGTGCACGACACTCAATGCAGCATAGAATGACAGATCTACCCTTCCCACTAATATTTTCCTAAATTGATGCACTCTAATCATTACTATCCATATATATATCTCACATCTGCCCCATATTTCTCAAAAAAATCACAGCCGCATGATGCATCTAATCCTATGATCCTAATCCATTCTCATTTCTCTCCACAAGGTCCATTCTCACAGGAACCGACCCCTATATATATATCCACAACTTTTCAAACTAGTACTTTGAATCGAAAAAGACATTTACTCACAGAGAAATGGTTGGTGAACACCATTTCGGGTACATCACATGTACACCAAACCCAAAATAAGCACGCACAGAAACTTAGTGCATGTGCACGCACAGGCACTACATATCTGTGTGTGCCTATTTTGGGCTTGGTGTATATATAGTGTACCAGAAGTGGTATTCCCCTAACAGTCTAACATTCCTCTTACTCAAAACAAGAGTCTCGTTTATAAAGAGATAACCAGAAAAAAAAGTTGTACGCCCCATTTAAAAAACCGAAATATAAACTGATATACACAATCATAAATTTAACTCAAACTTAATATACTTTGTATTTTATTTAAAAGTTTGTAAGCCCAGCCCATTTGTGTATCCTTTTCCAAATGAGAAACCTTCTCCTTTCTCACATTTAGCCGCACGCCAGAAATTCAAATCACGCATCCGTTTAGACCTCTGATTTTCTCACATTTGTAACCCGTTCCTAAAACAAGAGATCGTCTCCTAGCGCCGCTCCATTGAAGAACACTCTCATCAAGTTTATCCAAGTCCATATCTGAATCTGGACCATGGAGGTGAAGTTTAGAATTGAGGCAGTGATCATGTAGGGCTGAGATTGCTCGGATGGTGATTGCAGAGGTTGGGTGTCAGAAGCAGGGTGTCTGAGAATGGGTGGAAAGTGTTGGACGCCATTGAAGTCTACAGGCTCTAGTTTTACTAGATTTTGAAACCCTTGGAAAAAAAGAGTTGGTTGTTAAAAAAACTAGAAAAAAGAGAGACTAGAAGAAACTAGAAAAAGCTAGAAGAAATTGGAAGAAATTGGAAAAAGCTTGAAGGAATTTGAAGAAATTGGAAAAACCTCAAACAATTGGAAAACTTATTTTTGTGCACAAAATCATTTTGATAGTTTCTCCTAGGTTGTCTAGCATGCACATTCTCATTCCTAGGTTGTTTTCTAGGTTGTCTAGTGTTCTTAGATTGACTAGGTTTTCTATTATCCTAATTTCTATCTTACCTACGTTGAGCCTTAGGTGGTTGTTTAGGTGATTGCTCAACTTTTTCTTTATCTTTTCTTTCATTTTTATTATGCCATATTCCTTCCTTAGAGAATTGCATAGTGTCAAGAAATAAATTGAGATTTTTGTTGGTGTATTAAATTTCTTGGCCGTGCTCTCAAGTTTTGTGACTTGTTCTTTTAAAGACTTACATGATTCACACCCATTTCTTGAACTTTCAGGTTTGTCTGTGCTTCTTTTTCCAAAAAAATTATTTTCATGTTTCAATTTTTCATTATCTTTTTCTAGTTTTTGAAAATCTCAAGAGTAGAAAGACGTTTCTTTAAAGCTTATTGGATTTAGATGCGCTAACAAATTCGTCATAAAGTTCACGAAGTGCCTCTTGCATTTCTTAAAAACGATAAGAGTCGAAAGAAATGGTACATACCTCTTGCACGTCGTTGTTTGCTTCTTCATGTGCCATGAGGCAATGATTTGCAGCCTCATCTTCCTCTTGGTCGGTTGACTCATCACCGAAATCACCACCCCAAGAAATGTAGGCTCTTTGCTTCTTGAACTTGTGTTTGTCCTTGCCGTTCTTGGCTTTTGCACATCTTGGCTTGATATGGCCAATGTCGCCACAACCATAGCACTTCGGGGGACCATCTTGCTTCTTCCCTTTGTGCTGAAATTCTTTCCTCATGAATTTGTGGAATTTTGTGATAACAAGCCCGAACTCATTATCCTCATCGCTTGATTCTCCTTCCACCGATTCCTTGATGGCTTTGAGTGCTATCCCCTTTTTCCTTTGTTCATCCAAAGACGGGTTAAGTATAGTAGATTTGTAAGTTTTGAGAATATCTCTTAGTCCATCGATGGTGACATTGGAAATGCCGATTGACTCTAGATGGCATCGGACTTTTAGCGCCATTCGAGAGTCAAGCTTCACAGGATCTTCGTCACTAGATCCTTGTTGGAATAGCTTTTCTTCAACGCATGAAGATCGTTGATGATCTTAGAGAAGAGATAGAACATATCATCGATCTTCTTACCTTCCTTCATCTTGAACATCTCATATTCTTGGGTGAGAAAGTATATTTTTGCTTCATGTACCTGATCCGTACCTTCATGCATTACCTCAAGCTTGTCCCACATCTCTTTGGCGGTTGAGCAGCAAGAGATCTTCCTTTAGTTGTCGGGATTTACGGCACAATAGAGCATGTTTATGGCCTTTGCATAGTTTTCGACCTTTTTGATGTCTTCGGCATCAAATTCGTCTTTGGTCTTTGGGGCCGTGGTTTCTCCTACCTTTTCCATAGGCACCTCTTCACCATTCTTGATAAACAACCATAATTGGAAGTGGGGAAATACTATAAATTCAACCATTTTTTTTCAAAAAAATCACACTCAATCCATCTCTCAATCTATCAATCTCTCAATCTTATTATCTCTTTTTAATTTTTATACAATTTATATTCATATAATAATATAAATATATATTAATATATTACATAATAACCTATAAATACATTCATTATTCATATTATCAGTTATCATATATTCTTAGTTTATTACTAATATTATAATTTCGAAATTTTCAAAATTTAATATATAATTTATTTTTTAAATATATTCTTTAAATAATTTAAATATATAATTAATTTTTTAAATATATTATATTTTTTAAAAAAATTATAATTTTCGAAATTTTTGAAATTTTAATATATAAAATTTCGAAATTTTTTTAAATTTTCGAAATTTAATATATTATTTTTTAAAATATCAAAAAATATATATATTAAAATGTCAAGAGAGTCCGGTAGAAGGTCCGTGGATATGAGTACCATGAACCGAAGTTCGAGGAAAGGCAAAGCTAAAGCCACCTTCGACGGTTCGACCTCACGCAATTCTCGAGGAAGGCACTCCGTCTCTTCCTTTCCTACTATCCCTGATCAATTCATGGGCGACGCTTTGACAGATCAAGAATTCGACCTGTACATATCCGGTAGAGGCGACGCGAATCTCGAAACTCTTGAAAGTTTATTCGAGGAGATTGATGAAGCAGGAATGGACGGGGACGGGGAGCCTACACCGCACAACAACGACGCCGACAAGGAGGCAGGTGAGCAAGAGACCTCTCAAGGTCCGGACAAAGGTAAAAAAAATAAAATCAGATTTATTTGTTTATCATTTTTCAAAAGAAACAAAAGATGGCATAGTTTATGGAACTTGTAAATATTGTGCCACCGTCATTAAAATGGGAGTTTCCGGCGGTTATGGTGGTCTGGAAAAACACCTAAGGTCGAGGCATCCCGTGGAGTACGCCAAATACGCGGCGAAAAAGAAGGGACGACATGAAGTGCAAATCCAAATTTCTCAGTTTGCTAACAGGGGTAGGGGCGGCCTTTTTTCTTATAGCAACGAGCAGAATAAGAAAAAAATGGCCGAAATGATTTGTGAAGAAAATTTGCCATATCATACATGTTTTCTGAAAAACTTGGATTTATTGATTATTGTCAACATGCATTAAACCCTCAATCAAGAGGTTTTTCAAGAAAAACAATTAAATGAGAAAAACTTGAAAAAATCAATTTGCCAAATTTTTTTCTCAATTTAAATTCTCATGTTACTATTTGTTCTGATATTTGGGGTGAAACATATCATAATTTGTCTTATATGGGTGTTACTTGTCATTAGATAGATAATGATTGGATTATGCATAAACGTGTTCTTGCATTTCGTGATTTCAATGATTCTCATACTGCTGAAAATATTTTTCTATTGCTTCAACGTATTCTGCGGGAATACAACTTAGTTGATAAAGTGTTTGCATTTGGTTTTGATAATGCTAATAATAATACTGCTGTTATTCCTAGACTTAAATAAATTTGCCTCCTTACTACGACTATGGATAGATTTCTGCATCAATGGTGTGTCTGTCATGTTTTAAATTTATATGTTCAGCAAGGATTAGAAGCTATGGGGGGGGGGGGTTTGACGAATATTAAAAATGAAATTAGAAGAATTTGGGGTAGTCGTCTTATTTCGAAGTCCTGGAAGACATTTTGTAAGCTAAGGGTAGAAGACAAATAACACTTGTCAAAGATATCAACATTAGATGGAATAGTACATACAAGTTAATAGCACAGATTCTAAGCTACAAAGAGAAACTTGCTGAATTTTTTAGGGATGAACTTCGTTTAATGATTTCACCTATTGAATTTGTTATTGTTGAAAAATTGAATGCCGTATTAGAATTTTTTAATGACGCAACTCTTACTTTTTCGCATTTTTACCAACCAACTACAAATACATTTTTTAAAGAGTGTGTTACAATCGCAACATGTTTTTGTGAAAGTTTGGCTGATCCAGATATGTACCCTTATGTCTCTCCTATGATACATAAATGGTGTACTTATTATTTGTACATTCCTGATATTTATAAAATAGGTATTATTTGTGATCCACACTTTAAGATTGAAAATTATAAAATTCTAATTGACTATTACTACAGTTGTTTTTTAGATGAAAATAATTATTACTACAATCTTTTAATAGAATGGGAAAAAGAAAGAGATAATGCTATAACTCTTTTTTAGAATTTGTTTAAGGAATATCAAGGGTTATACGGTAATGTTCCAAAAGAAACAGCACCTCCTCCGCCCCCCAAATAAAAAAGGGTTTTAAAGGAATAGTCGGTGGGCTTCTTGCAAGTAAAGGGAAGCGTGCTCAGCCTTCGACGAGTTCAAGTGGTACAACAGTAAGCTCACACAACGAACTTGCTATGTACCAAGGGGTGCCATGCGATTACGACGACAGAAGGAAGTCCGAGTTCTGAGTAATAAGTTATAAACTTTTTTTTATGTTAATGTAGAATTGTAGATATGTAAACATGTAATTAGTTTATTTTAGGTGAGCGATATATAAGTTCCTTCGAAGGTTTCTTTACGGTTCTTTACCTCGTCGCTTTTTTTGAATCGTCGGAATATAAAATGTAGTTGTTCTTTAGCTCGTGTTATCGTGTATTACTCATTTTACAATATTTAAATAATAACTACATTTTTCAACTTTTTATTTCATTCTTTCCTTTAATAATTGCAAATTTATAATTTTACACTTTAAAAATTTAAAAAAAACAAAAGAAAATATTGGGGGTGGCCGAAACCGGCCAGTCCGGTAACAGAACCGCTGGTCCGGGTACCGGAACCGGTACCGCCCGGTCCAGTCACAGTACCTTACCAAGAGGTGGCGGTACCGGAACCGGCAGTTTCAGAACCGGAATCGTCCTGGAACCATACCGTGTCCATGCCTAGCCCCAACTAACAACTTGGCTCACCCCTCACGGAAGCTAATTAGAGTGAGCGTGTCATATTTATTAAAGTAGGACATACTTCATAAAAGATAGGAACAAAAGTTTGGCAACTTACATACCGTTGAAGTAATAGGAAGTAGAATATTATTACTCCGTAATAGATTCTTTTCATTATTCTTTTATTTTCTTATTGTAATGTTACTGTATTTTTTCTCTTACTATGATTAGAATCCTCTCTTGTAAATTCTATATATATAAATGTATCTTCCATTATTCAATAAAACTAATTTTTATCAAATTATATCATGGTATCGTAGTTAAGTTTTTCTAAAACCTAAACTCATCTTTAAGACCGAGCACATCGCCGATCTCTGTTTACGGCGGTCGATCATCCAACAGCATGACGTCACCGACCAATCGCGACAAACATGTCTAACAGCTGCCGCCCATTATTCCTCTCTTTTTCTCCAGAAGAAAATCATCATATCTCTCTCTCTTCAAAAAAAATTTATGTGCCTGATCGAAGAACGGAAAAATAGCATTTGTCAGTGTTTTTTCTAAAGATCGAGAGCATGAAAAACGATAGAGAAGCAGGGAATGGCCCACAAGGAGAGAAAAAGAAACTTCTCGTCCTCGCTCCAATCATCAACACTCTCACCAGGAAAAAAACTCAGCAAACGTAATTTCAAGCTCGTTCGCAATGAAAGGGGGGGAGACGGGTTTGAAATTTGAGTTTATTGTATTGAAATTAAAAAAAAATAATTAATGATATTACCATTACGTTGGAACAAAAACAAATTAAAAAGCATTGAATTGGTTTCTGATTATGCCCGTGGCCACGATGCCACAGACACGAGCAGCTCACGGGAGGCTGTGTTCTAGACTTTGGGTAATCATCCGCAAACATGGCAATGACATGTAGAATCGCGAAAGGGGCGGGTGTGGGGAGCTATGGACTGTCTTAGGAAAATGGTTATCACAAATTGGAAGTCTCATTTTATACTAATATATCTACACTTCGAGTTATGATTTTTATTCAAATATATTAATCCTAGTAATATATAGAATAATAATACGAGTAATTTATATTATTTTTTATTGAAAATATCAAATGTACGAATTCATACAAATCAAAATTTATATTTTTTGGTATTCTATCCAACTTCTGTTTTAAAGAAAAAAGTATTCGTGGTGCTTAAATACTTATTGGGTCTATTTGGGAAGGGTGTTAGACTTAGAGTTTAGAGTTTAACTGTTTGTATCAGAGTCAGTGATTAGCTGTTTGGTTTTTTTATGTTTGGAAACTGAATATTTTTTAAAAAAACTAATGCATTGAAAATTACTAAAATATTCAATTGCACATGCACTCCGATGTTTTAGAAGTCAGTTAATTTTAACTTTATTCAGGTGATTTTTTATAATAGCGCAGTATTTTTTTATTATTTTAGGTTAGCGAAATTTTGAAAATAGATTTTTGGAGTGAATTATTAAAAAATAAAAAAAATAATGAAATTTTGTAAAAGAATGGAATTTAAATGAACCAATAATGTAATGCGAAGTAGTTAAGTAAACCATAAGAACTAAACACTAGCTACAACAACAACAATAACCAAGTATGTATGTATGCAGACCTTCCCTTACCCGAAAGTAATATTTTCTTAATTTTTTAGTTACAAAAATATTTTTAAAAAATGAAAATTAAAGACATGAAAGGCTTGGACTGGTCCTAACTTACTCAAGCAATCAAGTACCTATTTTTTATAAAGATGATACTAGTTTCTACTGCTTAAAATAAAAGATCAGACCTCTTACTCATTACATGTTAAATCAATATGTTGAAAATCGGACCGAACGTCGAAGTGGCGAGATCGACAAGTGGGCCAGGAGTCAGCCGGTCAAATTGGATCAACGACCTGGTGAATGTTTCTATAAATATTCATACAACTGTTCTTACATACTTCAATTTGTAGTAATTAATATTCCCAACTTATATTTAGTTGATTAAAATGAGAAAAAATAGGATTCAACTAATAGGATTGATTCAACTAATAGGATTGATTCCCATGCTTTTAAGAATAGGATTGATTCTTAAAAGAGGGGAAGTTTCGCCCAACCATTTTCCCGCCCAAATGCACAACTTTTGTGATCCGTCCATTTTTATCAATGGTTGAGATATTACATACTCCCTCCGTCCCATGAAACCTTTCTCATTTCTTTTTTTATCCGTCCCACAAAACACTTCTCATTTATATTAAAAAGTCACTTTTACCCCTTACTTTTTCATACCCTAACTATCACATCATACCTTTTTACTAATAATCTATCCATCAAATCATACTTTTACTCATCACATCAAAGGACATTTTTGAAAATTCAATACCAAAATACACTCTCCTTAAATCCCTCTTAAAAAGCAAAAGTCCCATGTTTCATGGGACGGAGGGAGTATTTTATATTACTACATTTTTTTGGTATATTTTAGTATATACCACGTATTTGTATATGGTAATAAGCCAACGGATCTTTATGCACAACCTTTGTGATCCGTCCATTCTTGATCAACGGTTGAGATATTATTATATACGGAATATTTTGTATTACATTTTTAGTATATTTTAATGTATATATTCGTATATGGTAATAAATCAACGGATCTTTAATAAAATCACACACAACAATGACAAGAAATAAATATAAATATCTATTCTTAAAAGCATGGGAAGTTGCACCTAACCATTTCCTGTCCAAATACACGACCTTTCTGATAGGGGTGAGTTCGATTTTGGCGGTTCGGTTTTCACCCAAAACCAAAGACAAAACGAAAGGTAAATTCGCGGTTTGGTTCGGTTCGGTTTTGCATAAAAAATATGTAAACCGTTGGTTATTCGGTTCGGTTTTATACGGTTTTTATTTCGGTTTTTTTCGGTTTATAAAAGTAGAAATTTATAAGCATTAAAAAATAGTAAAAACACTAACTCGATGAAACAATAACAATATGTAGTTTTAGCTTTGGTTTTTTGTTTGATTTTTACACAAAAAACAAAAACCAAACGGAAGGTCATTGTTCCTTTCGGTTCAATTTTACATAAAAAATATGTGTTGAGTGCCCAACAAACATTTAGAAGATTCCAAATACTTCCAAAGAAAGCGTATGTAAAATCAATTACGAAGAATTTAGGTTTTTTGGTATAATAATTTCATTTTCATTATAACATCAAAGTATTTGTTATGTAAATATGTAAATTACTCGTATCAATTTTTAATGTTAATATAATTCTATTTTAGGATTAGCTATTGGTGTTTATATTCTTAGGTTTTTTCAAAGTTTATAATAATAGGGCTAGAATGGTGAGTATTTAGATAGCCTTACCATAGCGTTTGCGTATGGAAATTTATTTTTACATTACTACGTTTTCGGCAAAAAGATTTAAATTATTATATCACTCCCCACTATATAAAGGGACGGTAATAAACTGAGTTTAATATAGATAAACTACAATATTTTACGTAAATAATTATTATACGGTAATAATAATAATAATTTTATATGATTGTATCACCTCCATTTTAATTTTACTCGTCTAAAAATGGTAAGATTTAAAATAGACTTGAATTGAGTTTTATTGTGGTAAATTATTATACAGTGCATTATTACATTATAAGAAGGGAATAAATTTTAATGGAAATTCCATTTTTAAAAAGTTGATATTACAGTCCTTTTAAAATTTTTCCAATTTTAATAATTAGTCTTTTGTAGGGTGCATTATTATACGGTAAGAACAATAATTATTATTAGTATAAGGTAAGAATAATAATAATAATTTTTATATAATTATATCACTTTCATTTATATTTTACTTATATAAAAATGGTAAGATTTAAAATTGCCTTGAATTGTGTTTTATTGTGGAAATAAATTATTATACGGTGCATTGCCGTCATATTTACACATCCATTTAAAATTATTTAAGTACTCTTTTTATCTACATGACGCCTGGAAGCTAAATGTGTATATCAAATATCAACTACGGAGTACTGCACTAAAAAAATAAACTAAAACAAGCTACAGAGTACTCTGTATATTATGCTTTGTATTTATTATGAAGCAGTATATTGGATATAAATTTCCATATTTATATTCGAATATATTCGTTGACATGTCGAATCGAATGCATACACATTCGCATTCGTATTCATTTTCTTTTGAATTCTAGTAAATATAGGGTAGTTTACGCAAATGGGCGTAAACATATCATTTTCCCTAAATAGGACGAGTCCTATCTACTCTAATTTTTGACAATGAGAAGTTCTAAAATGATATGCACTGTCTTTGAAAAATGGCCTATTACATAATTCAAACAGAATAAGGCATTATTAAAAATAATTTAAATAGTCATTGAAATAGTCTGTTATTATCCAACACTTGTTGCTAATGACCATATTCGTAGTGCTCTTTGTATAGTCAATCATTATACAACACTTATTGCTAATGTATATGGTTGATCATATGGAATTATGTGCCATTAGTAAAAAGTAATGATGTGATAGGTAGAGTATGAAAAGGTAAGGGGTAAAAGAGGTTTTTAAGGGAAAAAAAAGTTTATTTGGGGACAAAGAAAAAACGAAAGAGAAAGTTTATTTAGGGACGAAGGGAGTATAACTTTTCAAACATGATGAGAAGGAAAGCAATATAAAATGAAAAAAAACACAAATTAAACATTTGCAACAAACTATCAACTTGTATATCACCACAACTCGTACGTTCGTGCGTGGTCCTGGCTGAATTGGCTTCTTTATTGATTGTTCAAAGCTCATCAGCAATGGAATACCAGTCAATGAGGAAGTTCATTAATTCCCAAGAAGAAAGGGTCAATTCATATTGAGAGAGATGAGAGAATACGGTGTTAATTAAAGCGAACGGACATAAAATGTTGACCGGGCACATAATCTTGATTTGACCATCATGGAAGCCAAGACCCAATATTTGCTATAAATAATGAAACTCTTGGGGGTACGTACATATATAGCTAGCTTGCATTGTTTCCCTTCATATATTATCATTCTCTTACAACCCCATTTATAGAGACGTACTAATCACAGCAATAAGGCAATTTATTAGTAACCTTGAAACTTCATTATTTAGCGAGCTAGCTTCAAATTAAACATTATTCATCACTTTTTGCCGTTATTATATATACCCAGTGTACGTATATAACATAAAGAAAAATGTTGAAGATTGAACGAAGGCCGTCTCAGATTCAAGCTCCCACCTATGGGAACCTTGTCACCATTCTTAGCATCGATGGCGGTGGCATTCGAGGACTTATTCCTGCAACCATCCTCGCTTACCTCGAGTCTCAACTTCAGGTAAAAATGTATCCATATAATCACCAATCATACTCTCATTAAATAAACATTGATCCGACATTATTACGATTTAATTTACAACGTCAAACTAGCTATATCTTTCTTATTTGTTTTTCAGCATTTGTTATAACAAAAAATAGAGTCGTTAAGTGAGTTTTTATTATTTTTTGAAATTTTAAGTGTAATTTTTAAATATTTTAATTTTATCTTTTCAGTTTATAGGTGGTAAACATGTACTTTGTATTTCATAAAAATTTGGAGGTAAAGTGCTCAGTTTTTCAAAAATATAGGGACTAATGATGCACTTTTAAAAGTTCAAAGAAAAAAATATGCACTTTATTTGATTGAAGTTCGATAGTAAATAACGCAAAAAACTCATTTTGAGAAGTATTTTTATGAGAAGACTATATATCATATTGAATTGTAATTTTCTTGTTGTTTTTTTTAAAAAATAATTGCTTAGTATATCGAAATAGATCAGAAGACAAACGTAATTAATTAATATTGTCTAATATTGATAAGTTTATAATGCCAAAAAAATTATTTAAATAAGCTTTGTCATTAATAAATGTCAACAATAATCTCATCATACTTGTAGGATGGTTCAGTGAATTGATTGTAATTTTTAAATTTAATACTCCCTCTATCCCGATTTAATTAAGTTCTTTTTTCAGTATTCACATGATTAAACTTTAACTACTTTCATTATCCATTTTTGGTATTAATGTGATAAAATAATAAATTAATGTCACTTTTTATTTTGTAAAGCTTTAAATTTCATTTTTAAATATACAAATTTTATTTTAAATTCCACACTAATTTATATACTCGTATAAAACGAATTGAAAATAATTTCAGTCTAATATTCTAAACCGGAATGGATAATTTAAATTGGAACGGAAAGAGTGTGGAAAATTATACAACTGGAGACTAAAAGAGCATAATTAATTAAATATTGAGAGTTGATGTGTAAGTAGGAGTTGGACGGAGAAGATGCAAGACTAGCGGATTACTTCGACGTGATATCAGGAACGAGCACAGGCGGGCTTGTGACCGCCATGTTGACCGCTCCCGGCGAGAATGACCGCCCCCTTTATGCCGCTAGAGATATCAAGCCATTCTACCTCAACAATTGTCCCAACATTTTCCCACAAAAGAGGTATAATGTAATAATAATAACAAGGTTAATTTCTTTTTTCAAGTAAAAAAGGGTCAAGTATGAATTTGATATGCATGCAATAATTCAACAGAGGATGGATTTGTGCAATATGGAAGTTGATTGGGTCGGTGTTTGGGCCCAAATACGATGGCAAGTACCTGCATAATCTCGCCAAGGATGAGTTGAAACAAATTCGCCTAAAAGACACACTTACCAATGTTGTCATCCCAACTTTTGACATCAAGACTTTGCAACCTGTCATCTTCTCCACTTACGAGGTATAAATTAAAAAACTCTTTTTGGGACGGATGAAAAAAGAAAAGAGAATGTTTTCAAGGATGGAGGGAGTATATATTTATATATGAAAAAATCCAAAAATAAATATCTATATATTGGCGTGTCTGAGCTCTGTTATTTTTGTCACGTACATTGTGGTTGATTAATTACACTATTATTTATGTGGTCACGTTGCAGGCTAAAAAATCCCCAGCATGGGATGCAAATTTGAGCGACATTTGCATTGGCACTTCGGCCGCTCCTACCTATCTTCCTGCTCATTATTTCAAGACCGAAGATACCCACAAAGGGACAATCAAGGAGTACAATCTAATTGACGGCGGCGTTGCTGCAAACAATCCCGTACGTAATACTTGTTCCGTTCCAAAAAAATACTTCCAAATTTGATTTTTGGCAACTAACTATAGGAAAGACAGAAAGTTATTTTGTAGTTGACTTTCCAAGATGCGAAGATTAATAGTGAACAGATATGATGTAATAGGTCAAATAATAAAATTAATAGGGGTAAAAGTTATCCATTATTTTTTAACGTGTTATAATTACTTTGACATACAGACATTGGTAGCCATGTCACAAGTGACGAAGCAGATATTTGACAACAACCCGGACTTCTTCCCCATCAAGCCCATGGATTACGGGCGATTTCTGGTGATATCCTTAGGGACGGGCGCCGCGAAGAACGAGAAGAAGTACGACTCCAAGCAGGCGGCCAAATGGGGAATTCTGGACTGGCTGCTTCACAAAAGCTCAACGCCTTTGATTGAAGTGTTCTCGCAGTCCAGTGCTGACATGGTGGATTTGCACAATACTGTGGTTTTCAAGGCTCTCCACTGCGAGGACAGTTATCTAAGAATTCAAGTACCTATCCTACTTAATCTCTATCCTTCTCTTATTATAACCTTAATTGTCTATGTTCATTCGGTGAGGTCCCGTTGACACTCAAAGTAAGCGAGTGTAACGGATGATGACATACACTGGTTCAAATTGAAGCATCTATGGTTTTCTGTTTGTAAAATTCATAGTTCTTATTAAACCTAACATCTCCAATTCGTTTAACCTTCTGACCGCGCCACCCCTTCAGTTGACATCAAAATCAACTAAATTTAAGGGGGAGTTCGGGTCACTGGAGGTTACTTGATAAGAACCATCAATTTTACAAACAGAACATCATATCGCAAGTGCCCTAAATCCCAATGGCACCGTAATGTCAAGCAGAGCCGGTGTCAACGAAATTATGACCATGTTAATTTAAAAGTTACAGTATAATTTTTACACACATATTTTTTTAGAATTATTGTTCAAATTTTGTTTATGAATAGAGAAAGTGAATAATTGAATTCCAAAAAAAGAAGAAGACAGACAACTAAATTTGGAGGAAAAGAGTAATAGGGTAATACCATAGGGGGGGGGGTATTTATTATTTAATGTCACTAAATACTTAGCTTAGCTTGTTCCAAATTTAATTAAACAGGAAGACGCCCTGAATGGAACGGAATCTTCCGTGGACGTGGCCACTAAGGAAAACCTGGAAAGGCTGGTTGAAATAGGAGAAAAACTGTTGAAAAAACCAGTTTCTAGGGTGAATATGGTCAGTGGTGTCACCGAACCAATTCCAAATGCGGGCACAAACCAGGATGCTCTCAAAAGGTAACGTACACTATATATATAGCTAGCTAGTAATAACAATATTACGAGTACTTAGTAATTAAGATCAAAATTGAATTTCTGTGAATTATATATACTCATACAAATGATCAAGTGTGAAATACCATTATTAGCCGCACAAAATTTAAACGTATTCTGGGAAAGATCAATAAGAAAAATAGGCAATCTTTTAAAAGAAAAAGTGGGGTTATTTCAGGTTTGCGAAGTTACTATCAGAGGAAAGGAGACTTAGAGAAATGAGGTCACCACTCACCAACAAAGGCTTGGACAAAGCAGCCCATCCAATTAAGTTGGGATGATATATATATATATATATATATATATATATATATATATATATATATATATATATATATATATATATATATATATATATATATATATATATATATATGATTGATGAGGCCGGCCACTGTACCACTTGATCCGACATCTTTAGCAAATATTGACAACACAGAGATTTGGTGAATAATGCATGGGAATGAACATTATAATTATTTATGATTGTGAAATTAAATCTTGTAATAATCAGTGCGTGTATTACATATCATCATTCGATTTGTTTGTGCACATATGTATTTAATTAGTTTTGAGGTGTTATTCTTTCAATAAGTTGAACTGTTTGTTTATTAATTGTGTGTGATTGGATCATTCCATTGGATGTACTACAATTTACTGATCCGTATTGGAGCATTTATGTTATTCAGATTATTAAATAATACTACAATCTACTCCCTGTTATTGAGTTTGTCTTCTATCACTTTCTCAGTATATTGGGTGTTTAATTCCTTACATTGGTATCAATTTATTACACGCAGTTCTTGTTTATTAAATCCTCTTTCATTTTTTACCAAGATAGAATAATAATAATAATAATAATAATAATAATAATAATAATATTAACAATAATATTATACTAATAATCATAATGATAATGATAATTAAATAGTAGTAGTAGTAGTAGTAGTAATAATAATAATAATAATAATAATAATAATAATAGGGATTCTTTATTGAATAAATAGGGAGAAAAATAACAAAGTCAAGCAAGGAAAAGCAGATTCCTACAATATACTCCCTCCGTCCCAAAAAGTTTGTTACGTTTAGAAAAAACTGCGTCCCGTAAAATCCGTTACATTTCTATTAAAAAACCACTTTTACCTCTTACTTTTTCATACCCTACCTATCACATCATACCTTTTTTCTAATAATCTACCCATCACATCCAGGGTATTTTTGGAAAGTCAATACCAAAATATCCCTCCCTTAATTTCTTAAAAAGTCAAACCGTTCCATTCTTTTTGGGACGGAGGGAGTATAATTGTGATGAATAATGTTCGGCAATACTCTCTAATAGTTCTTGAAGAATGAATAGTTTCCACTATCCATTATGTGGGACTTCACATGTATATATACAAGGAATCCAAATCCTACTAATAGTAGGATATTATAAAAGGAAACTAATTACAAAAGAAACTAGTCCAAATCCTACTAATTACAAAAGGTAACTACAATAAGATAATATAATAATAAATATAATGAATTTATTTAACATGCTCCTGACTACGTCGGCTGCGGTGGGGGACGAATCCCAAGATTCATGCGGAAGTCCGTGAACAGCATTAATGTACGTCCTTTTGTGAAGATATCAGCATAATGAGAAGGTGACAGTATATGAAGGACTCGTAGTGTCCAAGGGCAACTTTGTTACGTGCAAAGTGGATGCCTACCTCGACATGTTTGGTACGTTGATGTTGGACAGGATTGGTGGAGAGGTAGAGAGCGCTGACATTGTCACAGAAGATAAGTGTGGCGTGTCGCAGGGGCTACTGCACATTTAGGAGGAGATTCCGAATCCAGCTACTCTTAACAACAACATTTCCTTCAGCCTGATATTCGTCCTTGGCACTAAAGCGTGACGTCGTGGCTTGTTGTTTGGAGGACCAAGAGATTAGGTTGTCCCCAAAAATATACAATACCCGAATGTGGACCTGCGAGTGTCTGGGCATCCAGCCCTGTAGAATATTAGTACTGGATGGAGAAAGAGATGCCAAAGGTGGTTGTGCCACTAAGGTAGCATAGAACACGCTTCGTGGCTATGAGATGAATATCACGTGGGGCGCGTAGGTGGAGACAAAGTTGTTGAACAACATATGTGATGTCCAGTCGAGTGAACGTGAGATACAGTAGGGAACCTACCATTGAGAGGTAGAGAGCAAAATTAGCTACTAAGAAGCTGGGCGCGGTTGATAGCTTGACATTTGTATCAACCAGAGTGGAAATGGGGTGACCGGAGACCATCCCAGCTCGCTCAAGAATATTATGAACAAATTGTGTCTGATGCAGGAAGAGGCCATCAGCTGAACGGTGCACATTGATGCCAAAAAAGAAGTTAAGATCTCCCATGTTAGTCATAGCAACACGAAAAAGAGTAGATAGGCCACGTCTGCCCCACGAGAGTAGATAAAGAGGGTTGTGTCAGACTTACAACCACGAAAACCCATGGTTTGGATGAAACTGGCAAAACAATGATACCACAATCTTGGTGCTTGCTTTATTAGGCCATAGAGAGCCTCCTTGAGCTTGCAGACATAATGATGCCTTGCGAGATCCTGAAACCCAAAAGGTTAAGTGGCATACACAGCTTCTTTGAGGTGGCCATAAAGGAAGGCATTCTTAACGTCCAGCTAATGAATGGGCCATCCTCGGGAAAGAGCAACGCAAAGCGCAATGCGAATAGTTTCCTTTCCAATTTGATCACTAGGCTAAAAGATTCATCATAATCAACCTCATATCTCTGGTGGAAGCCACAAACAACCCATCAAGCTTTGTACCTGGTTAACTCCCTATGGGACCAAATTTATATCGAAAAATCCATTTACCAGTTATAATGTTTTGGGTGGGGAAGGGGGTACTAGTTCTCATGTATCATTCTTGATTAAAGAATTAAATTTCTCACACATAGCAACATGCTAGTTTGGATCCTTGAGTGCAAATTTCTATCTTCATCTGAATTATTTGTGTAACACCCCGACCCCCACCCTAGCCTAAGCATCCGCTCATAGGATTGTAGAATGGCCCCACAAACGTACACAAGTCTTTCCCACGCACTTTATCCTCACTCGTGCGCACCCAAGGAATTTACCAAGGGGTCACCCATCCTAAAATTGCTCCAAGTCAAGCACACTTAACTTTGGAGTTTCTAGGTAATGAGCTCTCAAAAAGAAGATGCACCTTGTTGGTATGAATAGTACTATCAATCATTTTGAGCCTTTTCTTTCCCCAATCCATTTATTTTTTTAAATCAGGGTATTACATTCACCCCCACTTAGTAATGCAATGTCCTCGTTGCATCCTTTTTTTAAATGCCTTAGATCTTCCCCGCTAGGTGAACTAAGCTCTTTTTGGCCCGTCACAGTCGCAGGGTTGCTCTGATACCATTTATAATGCCCCAGCCCCCACCCTAGCTGTAAGCGTCCACTCACAGGATTGTAGACTAGCCCCACAAGCCAACACAAGTCTTTCCCACGCACTTTGTCCTCACTTGTGCGCGCCCAAGGAATTTTCCAGGGGGTCAACCATACTAAAATAGCTCCAGGTCAAGCACACTTACTTTTGAGTTTCTAGGTAATGATCTCTCGAAAAGAAGATGCACCTTGTTGGTATGAGTAGTACTATCAATCCTTTTGAGTCTTTTCTTTCCCCAATCCGTTTATTTTTCAAATCAGAGTATTACAATTCGCATCTTCAAAGATTGTTAAATCCTCATTAGAAACAAATTGTTCGTTGATATTATTTTTTATATCAACATGCTTGATTTGTTCATTTTCTTTCCTTGAAGAATGAACACCTTTTGTTTCAAACATTGTCTCTTGCCTTTTAAGTTTTCTTGGTTTTATATCTTTTGAACAAAGTGGCGTGCCACGGTTTTTGCGTATTGAAGACTCATTTGCAAGAGTCTTATTATTTTTCCTTGAAGGAATTTCAATTCTGCCAGGAGCATTCATAGCAGGAATATGTGACTTTGTCACTTTCTTTGAATCCGTGAATGCACCAGGTAATTGATTTGCAACATTTTGTAAATGATTTATCTTTTGCACTTCAAGAACAAATGCATGAGAACAAGAAAAGATAATCCCGTTGCATTCCATGTAATCTCTTTCGTACATGGGTCCTTTTTCTCATTTTCTCCCCTTAAGGCTGGGAATACTGTCTCATCGAAATGACAGTCACCAAACCGAGCTGTGAATAAATCACTAGTCATGGGTTCAAGATATTTTATAATTGAAGGAGAATCAAAGCCAACATAAATTCCCATTTTTATACGATGTGGTGGAGTAATTGGTACATATAGGGCACATCCAAATGTTTTTATGTGAATAATATTTGTTACCAATTCTAATGGGGAAATAATATGATTTGCAGTAGGCCTTAGCCGAATTAAATTTGCAGCATGCAATACAACATGTCCCCAAACTGATGCAAGTAAATTGGATTTCATCAATAATGGTCGAGCAATTAATTGTAATCGCTTTATTAAACACTAAGCAAGACCATTTTGAGTGTGCACATGAGTAACTGGATGCTCCACATCAATCCCAATAGACATGCAATAGTCATTAAATGATTGAGATGTAAATTCTCCTGCATTATCAAGTTGGATTTTCTTTATTGAATAATCCGTAAATTGAGCTCTTAAACGTATGACTTGAGCAAGGAATTTTCCAAATGCAAAATTTCGTATAGATAAAAGACTAACATGTGAGCAACGTGTTGATACGTCAATCAACAAAATAAAATAACGAAATAGTTCACATGGTGGGGCAATTGGCCCTCAAATATCTCCTTGAATTCTTTCTAAAATTGTAGGAGATTCAACTTCAATTTTGTTTAGAGATGGCATTACAATCATTTTTCTAAAAGAGCATGCAACACATGGAAAATCAATTGATATTGGAATCCTTATATTTTTCAATGGATGTCCAAGTGAATTTTGAATTATTTTGTGCATCATTACACTGTCAGGATGACCCAAACGATCATGCCACAAAATGAATATTTTCTGATCATCTAATTATTTAATAGAGACAACATTCACTTCAACGTGACTAATGTGACTATAATATAGTCTATTGCCAGATTTGGTTGTCGTTAGACACAAGTATTCCTTTTGATTTCCTTTCATGGTTTTAATGTGATAATCATTTTGATGGATATTTCTAAAAGATATCACCCTACATAGCACTCTTACTGACTCTAAATTATGCATCTAGCACTACTCATTGTATTTAACAAACCTAGCAATTTGTCGTGTCAATCCTTTCCTATCATGCCCTTTACCCCTTTTTCTTTTTTCATTAAAAATTACGGCATTAACTCCAACCTCTCCTTCCGCTCGCCCGCACGATCTCCTTTAGTCGCACACGATCATGCATCCTCAGGCCTTCTCCCACGATTCCTTGGCCGATCAGCAGCGGCAATCATCAGGTTTTCTCCCATG